AAAAAAAAAAAAAAAAGATGGACAAACAGACAAACCAGAATTCCAGCTTAAATGTTTGAACAGAAGACTCTGCAAGAGCAAACTACATATACACATGCATGTACATGTATGTTACAAACTCATGCTTACCCAACTTCCAAGTAAGCAAGGAAGAAGAGGGGGTTTTCTTTGTTGTAGAAAAAATATCACCATTAAAGCAAAACAGTAAGAAGGAATTCCACCATCAGTCTGGGAGTCAATATGGCACAACTGCAAAATCAAAGGGAAAAAAGTACCACCTTTAGCTTTCTTTAATTTTCTTTGTTCTCCTCACAATAGAAGAGGCTTGTTTTTTCCTACCACCATCTTTGTAAATGTTCAATGAGAAACATAAGGAATAACCTAAAATCTCACCACCCTGAAATAACTATTAATATACTGATTACCATTTTTCTATTCATTCTTTATTGCACATAAACATAAGCATACATTTTCGATAAATGAAATCATTATCATACATACTGTCTGTATATTTTATCTTGCTCTACTTCTACATCAATGTTAATATTCTATCTACTCTCCCATGCCTTATTTTATGCTCAAATAACAATATACAAATATACATGCATTTCTATTTCTATTTTCTATTTAGATACTGGGAGAATTTTATTTTTGTCACTGTTTTACCAAAATTGTTTATTACAGACATCTCTCTGTATACTATTCTTTTCCTTTAACAATACACCAAGAAAGTTCCTCTAAGTCAATTAGTACAGATCAAACAAATTCTTTTAAATGGTTAATTAGTCTATGATCTGGATGGTTATTCAATAGTTTCCCCACCTAAGACATTCATACTTTATTCCAGTTTTGCCACTATAAACAATACTGTATTTATCTTTATATATATTTCCTACATATTGGTGCTTATTTGTGCGAGCTATATTCCCAAAAATGTGTTTGCTGGATTTAAAAATATGTGTATATTTGAGTTCTAATAAATAAAATTTCTTTTGGCTTTCTTATCCAAAATCACTATAAAAATAGCTCTTTTCACCAGTAACATCATACACATGCTTTCCAACACACCAGTATTATCACTTCTAAAAAACTGTCAATGGGATGGGTAAGATGTAATACCTAATAGTTACTTCAATTTATATTTCTCTGATGTTAAGAGGTTATGCAATTTTTCATATGTTTACTAATCATTTGGATTTGCTCTTTTCTGAACTGCTTATTAAATCTTTTTGCCAGTTTTTCTATTTTTAATTACTTATCAATTTGCATGATTTCTTTTCACATTATAGACAACAACCATTTATATCTGACATATGCATTTGAAATACGTTATTTTTCCCAATCTGTTTTTCTTTTGACATTATTTATGATACCTTTTATAATATTAAATGTACTAGCATCTATATAGTCAAATATGCTTATCTTGCACAGCTTGTTTTCTATCATGATAGAAAGGTTTCCCCAAATCATAGGTTACATATACTTTCTCTTAAATTTTCTTCTAAAATTTTTGTTTTTCATGTAAGTAGAATTTATTTTGTATTTACTGTTTTAAAGTTATTTTCTTCAAGACATACAGTTGTGACAGCACCACTTACTAAATTAAGTAAACCACTGTTTCATCTCTGAAATGAAATATTTGATATTTTCATACATTAAAATCTCATCTACACATTTGAAATTAAAATAAAGCAATTTTACATCTTAGGGATAATATCCTTCTATTCAAGAACTTGGTATCTTTGCATTGTCCGAAAATTTAGGAGTTGTGATCAATTACTTCCCCTCAACTCTCATATCTAGTATCTCTGCAAGTTCTACCTCCAAAACATATCCCAAATCCGTCTCCTTTGCTTCATATTCACTCTAACCTAGCACAGATCATTATCATCTCTGACTGATCTACCACAGCAGCCTGTGATGTCTACTATTCCTAGCACAGACTCCCTATTTCTACTCTTTATACCAAAAAGATCTTTTCAAAGCATAAATCACATCAAGACATCCACTGCTTTTAAAACCCTTCTTATGCCTCATTATGATTAAAATCCAAATTCTTTACCATAGGAATTGTCTGTCTAACCTCATCTTCTCCAACTTTCCCTCTTATTCACTTCATTCCAGCCACTCTTGCCTTTCTTTCTCATCCTCAGGTAGTCTGCTTTGTACTAGTTATTCCTTGGGTGCTACTCCCTCAGACTTTCAAGTGGCTGGTCTGAGTTAAAATATCACTTCCTCAAAGAGACTTTCCCTGACCATACAATGCAATATCACTTTTTTATCCCATCATCTCATTTTCATGGCACTGAACTCTACCACATACTGTATTATTTATATATACATTTACTCTGATTCTACCACAAGCATGTAAGCTTCATGACAGAAGGACTCTGTGTGTCTTGTTAGATGTTTCCAGCACCTAGAACAGTGTCTGGCACATAAGAAGTATTTAATAAATGTTTGCTGAATGAATCCATTTGTTCAGATTCTTCACCTTTCAATAACATAATTTTCTTCCTGTGCTTTTCTTATTAAATGTATTCTTTAGTATTTTATAATTTGTGTCACTGTCATGAAGGTAATATTTTACTCTGTTGCTATTCTATTGGGTTATTTTCATGACAGAGAAAAGATACTGGTTTTTGCACATTTATAGTGTATTTAGTCATCTTACAAACTCTCTTATTAATCCTAGTAGTCTTTACTAGGGTTTTCCAGGTGTACAATCATGTAATTAGCAAAGAAAAAGTTTTATTATTTTTTCAATATTTGCATTCACTATTTCATTTTCCTTTTCTTACTGCATTTTTTAAAATCTCTAAATCAATGTACAGTATCACTGGTGAACATCTCTGTAATAGCCTTAATTTTAACATATGGCTTGAGCAATTCACTGTTTAATTTGTCTTCCATTATTGTTTCATTTTTTGTAAATAGTTTTTATTATTTACCTTCATTTCTAGTTTACGTAAGAGTTATTCTTAGGAAGAATATGTCTTTTTGGCATCTATGATGTTTTTCTCAATTTATTGAGAAATTATTCAATTTATTCAAATTATTGTGATACTAAATTATGTTAACAGATTTCCTAATATTCAACCATTCTTAAAGTCCTGAAATAAATCCTACATTGTCATGGCATGTTACAATTTGATACAATGATATATTCCATCTGCTTATATTTTATTTAGACATTTTCTTCAACAAAAGTAAGATCGGTCTACAGTTGTATTTTTTTATTATTATATTTATTTTTCTTTGGATAAGAGCTAGCATAATCACTAATAATCACATAGCTTAGTAAATTTAAGAATACAATTAAAAATTGGAGGATTACACTTATAAAAAGAGCTTGAAATATTCACTATAATAAATTCTCATTTATCCCGAGTATTAAGGCAAGGGGTATGTTGCCTGATGAGTTAAGTCAAGTTAACCGAAAACCTCTCTACAACTATAACAAACTATTCTAAACTATTTCATGCATTTTGTTACCACTATCAGACATCTCACAGAGGAATAACATTGAGGCAGTTTAAGAGAGAGCTCTTAAAACACAAGGATCTCACAAGCAAGATATGAAAAACAACCTAAATGTCCATAAACAGGCAAATGGATAAAGAAAATAGATATAAATAAAATGGAATGTTATTCAGCCTTTAAAAAGAAGGAAATTCTGCCATTTCCAACAAGTTGGATGGACCTACAGGACATTATGCTAAGTAAAATAAGCCAGACACAGAAAAACAAATACTATATGATTTCACTTATGTGAAGAATCTAAAATAGTCAAACTCATAGAAGGAGAGACTAGAATGGTGGTTACCAGACGCTGGGGGAGAGGAAAATGGAGAGATGTTGGTCAAGTGGTACAAAATTTCAGTTATACAAGATAAGTAATTTTTGGTGATCTAACACATAGCATGGTGACTACAGGTAACAGGTAACTACATGGTACTAAATATCTGAAATTTAGTAAGAGGACAGATTCCAAGTGCTCTCCCAATACACACAGAACAGGTAACTATGTGAGGTAAGATATGCTAATTAGCTTGATTGGTGATTATTTCACAATGTATACATACATCAAATCAAGTTGTACATCTTAAATAGATAAAATAAAACATAAAAATAAAATAAAAACTCAGGGCTCTTTTTTATTTGCCAAATACTGCTAAACTTAATTCTTATGTTAAGCACAAAAAATGGCTGAGTCAGGAAACTTGACTATAATGGACTTTATCAGAATTTTGACACCAGAGGAAAGACACTTTACTAGAAAACTATTACCTAGCTAGAATCCTAAGAATATAACTATAAGAGAGAAGTCAACAGGAATTTCATGATATCAGTTATAAGAATAAATTATATTCATATTCTAGAATTTTTCTGAACCCTCAAATCATGGGAAATCAGTGCTTTGTTACATAATGCGCAATGTGGCTTAAAACTTAAGAAAAACAAAGTTATTTTAAAAAAATCTTTGAAAGGAAAAACACACCAGGAATTATCTCTAGGTTTCTCACAATAAACTCAGAAAATGAAAACTGTGGAAAAAAGCTCTTTGCAACAAATGCAGGTACCAAAAATGAGACACAGTGTTCTGTTGAAAACACAAAGGCATCACTCTGCAACCAACTTGGTAACATGTTTACATGTTAGCATCCTTCCTTCACTGACTGGTAATTTCAGAACCAGTATTTGAGTAATCTTTTGAGCAATCTTTTCTGTCTAAGAGCCATGTTAGGAAACAAAGTTTCTAGGCCATATTTTTTCCCAAATGAAAGCAACTTTTCTGAGTTATCATTTATACTCTTCTACCACAGTCTACTTAGAAGAATACTGACACTATTTTTATGACCACTAAAAACACAGGGCATAATTGGAGGTACTATCCCAGAAGGAGCCGTTTATTCCTTCATCCCTTCTGACACCACTCACCTTCCTGGAGTTGACATACTGAGTTTCCTGAGTGATAGGCCTCATCTATCAGTTTCATACCACACTTGGAGAAACCTTGATTACTAAAGTTGTTGCACCAGTTCCTGTTTCTGTTGACTTACTGCTGTTTAAATAATCTCAGTTGCCAATTAAAACATTTTTTTGTAGCATTTTAGAATTCAAAGTATATTCTCATCCATTATCTCATATCACTTTCTAAATGATCTCCCCAGATGGAAAAACTGAGCCTCAGACAGGTGAAGTGCCTTGCTCAAAATCACATAAATACTTAGTACAAAAACCAGAATTGAAGTTGGTTTATTTCATTTTATAGCCACTAAATTTCTTCCATATGCCAGCATTGTACTAAGTGGAATATAATCAAATAAGAAGATGTACACACCCTCCATCAGCCTGGTTTACAGCTCCCAGTCATTTCCAAGAATTAAAAATCTCCTTTCTGAAGAAACTAGACCATGTCTTTAACAAATATTAAATGCCTACTATGTGTGGCATAGTAAAATAAGCAGACTGGGACAAGCACTGACTGAACAAATATAACATATTAAAATCCCTGTTTTCCCAGAGTTTACAATTCATGGAAGAAAAGAGATCACAAACAAATAAATGTAAGTAAAGCAGGTGGTAGTAAGTGCCATGAAGAAATAAAGCAGGGCAAAGGCAGGGACAGCAACTAAGACAATGCTATTTTATATATAGTATTCTAGGAAACTCTGGTAAGGTGAAATTTGAGGAGAAACTTGAAAAATGAAGAGTGAGCATTGTGGATATGTACGGTAAGAATACTCTACATGAAGGGGACAGCAAACACAGTGGCCTTGAATATGAAGAAGCCCCAACCTTAGGTTTTCTGACTATTCCTTACTTTTCAAGCTGTTTCATATTCTGCCAGCTGGTTCTGCTCCAATCATATCAACAATCCTCTAATCAGAGTCCAAGTAAAAAATTCCAGAAAGAATCCTCTGTTTCTGCTCTCAATTTATCATTCCACCATTAATCCATCTTCTTTGTATAATAAGACTGAGAATCTACTCATCATTGGTCTAACAAGTAATGGACGCTATACTGATAGGATAAGAATACAAACAAAAAAGCTAAAATCTCCTATAGTCATTTGGATTGATACTGGCAATTATTTTACCACTGCTCACTATTTCCATACCAAAGAAATGAGCACAGAGTGAACCAAAGCCTGTAAGAATATAAATTAATTCTAATATAGGAAACTTAAATAACTAATCCTTAGCAGTTGCCCCATCAGAAACCGCTGCATATTATCAACACAATAATGTTCTAAGATAGAGACTAGGGAAAAAATATGCTAACAAAAGAACTTAACTTGCATAACCGTATCTTAAAACTTTACAAATTTAACTTATAAAATATGAGTGAAAACTTAAGCCTCATATATTAAGATGTGAAAGAGAATGCTTCTATACTATAAATGGAGAATAAGTATGATCATTAAAAATTCTAAAATTCAATAACTCTATATGTTTATGACATTTTATTTTCATGTCTATAATTGGAACCTACCACACCACTTTCTGTCTAGCACAAATGAGTATTCTGTCCCCATATATTATGATTTATGTTACATGGTAATCCAAGAAAAAGCCCGAGTTATCTTAAAGATTAGGTACTTTTTTCTTCTATTCCACTTACCTTAGCCCAATAGCGAAAGGCTAACACCAAGGGAGTAAAGACAGGTTCTGTTCTGCCAAGAGCAGCAAGTAAATCAGTAGTGAGGCATGCCATATCATTTCCTGCACTCACTCTACAAAGCAAACCACTGTGAATGAGAAAGAAACAAATTTTATTGCATAAATATCTTAAAGACTAGAATATTTCAAACCCTGTGGCTATTATTTCCAATCACTGTATTTTACTATCTAAGAAGTCACAATAAATACAAATGCTTTAATAACTTACAGCTAAGTGAAAATTATATATTTTTATCACTAGAGTTCCATATATGTTAAAAATGTTTTAAATATTCATTTGTACTTCAGAAATAAATTTCAACCTCATTTAATATTTAAGTTCATGAGAAATTAATTTCAAGAGCAACATTATGATTCACCAAAATGTGACTTATGTAAGAGAAAAGACTGATTTCACCCATGTTAAGTAGAGCAATATACCTCCCTAGTTCATTCTTTTTGCTTTGCACACAACAAAAACAAAAAATGAAATACTCAACTGACTAGCTACTTCTTGACTCTAAATTTTTCCCACCTAAGCTTTTGTGATTTTATTGATATACTACTTTCAGATTAGAGTTTAGAAAGGATTTACATATTAACCTACACGTAATGTTTATATGTAAGTGAATAAAGGAGCCACCTTAAATGGGGTGACAGACAGTAGAGATATTTCAGTGGCAGAGAGAATGTATCGAGGTTGCCACAGAGAGGTAATCTGACACAACATGATAGGAAAAAAACTGAAGTCAGAATACCTAAAATCCAATTCTAATTTCACCCTAAATGATGTGAATTTAGATAAAATGCTTAATGCCTCCAGGTCTCAATTTCCTAATTTAGAAAATAAAGAAGGTGAATTAGATCTCCACAGATCCTTCTATCTTTGAATAAGAAAATACAGTAATCTTAAAATATAAGAAATACAGGTCAATAAACAATAAAAGAACACTATTATTACTGTATTGTTTCCATGTCTCTTCCATTGATCGCAAATAGGATTATCTGTTTCCTTTTCTAAAGGCACTTTGCTCTCTCAGACATGTGACTGGAAAGCCAGTATTAGTCTTCAATGACTTATTCAGTTTCAGTAAACTTAAAGCTAGATTCTAATAGACTGTGAGCTCCTTTGACAAGAGAGGTTATTTCTTACTTATGTTTGTATCCCTATACCAAAGCAGTACCTAACATACAGTAAACGCTCAATACTGTGGGTGAATGAACTTGGGGGAAAAAAATGAAGTTTTGCATTTGAGTGTTTTATTTTCAACTGTTAATTCTTCTTCACATGCTTTTGTTAGGCTTGCTATTCTAAATAAACAGAAATTAGCTTAGTCATATTAATCCAAGGAAGAATGTAAAACAAAAACTTTCTCTCTTGAAAATGGTCACTGAATATATGGTTATTTTTATTTTAAATAATACTTAATTTTTCTTCACTGTTACCAACCTTTTCCGATCTTTGCACACCACAACAGGAACTTTAGCATGAAAATCAGATTCCACATCTACATATAACACTAACAAGGAAAAAAATAAAACAAGTAAGCTAATGTTGAAATCTCTCAAATGTTTACTGTATGGTAAACATAAAGTAACAGTTTTCTTCAAAAAAAAAACTCACATTGCTTCTGTGGGATAATCCACTTTCTCATTTGAGCATCAACCCAACAGAACCTCTTACTTCTTGTGGTGTCATCTGCTATATATCACAAACCACAGTAAAAGTCCCAAAATATTGTCTAAAAATTATAATCACCTTCAGAACAGAGGTTTTAACATCTCTGAAAGTCCGAATATTACCAAGTAAGTACCTAACCTAGTCAGTTATTAAACCTTCATAGCTACAGCAAGCAGGGGACAGCATTTACTTCTGAGGGTTATATCCATTGGAGTTATGAAATGAGACCTAACAATGCTCTGACAGCTTAGTTCTTTTAAGTCATCCATGCAAGTAAAGGCTAACTCTGCTGGCCCCATTTTCTGTTAATATATGAAGAGTTTGCCCACCCAATCAAAGCTCCTAAGGAAGGGCTAATAGTGAAGCACAATTCCACTCTGAAGTCTTTTGCTACATCTCCAAGATAGGCCCCAGGCCATCCATGTCAAAGCTAAATAAAAATAGATGGATTAACTTTATTTCATTTGAAGTTAGAAGAAAATCTCTTAGTAGTAATTGTTGAAATTATTAATTTATTCAAAAATTATGTGCTGAAAACTACATGTTGGGAATTGCATTATATATGGTAGATGTGACAATAAATCAGACAGAAGAGCCCAGTTAGGGATTTAGAAAACAAATATGTCAACAAACAAATCTTGTAGATTATAGGATAAAGGTCTTTAAAAAGTACAATGAGGCATAAAGAGGGGAATAATCAATTTTATAATCAGATTGAATTTTGTAAACCTATGTTATGTGATTTAAGATGATCTATTCATGTATGTTAGTGGAAAAGACATATTTAAAATGTTTTTGCTAAGTTGATACTGTTCAGTGAGTCTAAAGAGATAAAAGCTCTGTATCTACCTCTTTAATATGCTTTAGAGTATTTGTGACATTAGAGAGAAGTATTTTTAAGAAATTATTAAAATCCCTTTATAGGATAAACTGGACCAAATTAATCCCTTAAAAACTAAATTTCCAGGAAAATGGCCAATAAGAATCTGATAAATAGTGGGAAGCTGATGAGGCAGACAGAGAGAGAAAAAAATGTTTAGAACTGACATTATAGACAATGAAAGGGTGGGGCTAACATCAATAAACTGTATCTTCTAAGCCAAACTGCAATTGTTTTTACCACATATTTCTGACTCACAAAATTTAAGATGACAATAGTAATAGTAATAATCTCAGCAGCAGAAATTTAATGTTACTATATACCAGCACTTTTCTAAATAAACTATGGCTTAACCTACTTCATCCTCACAACTTTCTCATCAAAAAGCTACTGTATTATTTCTATTTTATAGGTAGGAAAACTGAACATTAACACTTAAATAATTTGTCAAAGGACACACAACCAGTAAGTGGTAAAATTAAAATTTCAGCCTAGAAAGTCTGGCTCCAGATCCTGAGCTCATAACCATTTACTTTGTAACAAAAGGAATAAATAAATAAAAATATAATATTCTAGATTGTTACCATATGACCTAAGGTTTGGTTTGAGACAACTGTTATTTTTTATTTTTAATTTTATAAGTATTTCTACCTATGTGAATGACTTCTTACATCAAAATCAATCCAGACAGATAAGACACATAGGAAAAACTAGGTAGGATTTGGCTGATCTAATGTAATACAAGTGGTTAATTGTTTTAAGTGGAAAAAAATACCAATACATGCACATTTTTTTCCCATCTCTCCCTAAATATTCCTTCATCAATGACCACCTAATGATTGTAGCTTTTCTGTCTTCTTTTACACAAGAAATGCCAATAATACTCAAAGCTAACATTTTTAAATTACCCAACAGTTTTTTACATACCAATTTTAAATATGATAATTTTGACCTAATGACATGTAAACTTTCTAGTGTATCTATTAAGCAAATATATGTATATGTGTGTATATATATATACATACACATATACCCATATGTAACATAATGACTCAAATATGCTAGTTTTAGTTTAACTTGGTTAGCCATATATAACACAATGCATGTACCTTAAAAGAATTTCCTCTAGACAAATTTAAAAAACTCACCACTTTTTTTAAAAATCCCAAGCACTTGTATCAGAAGATCTGGATGACTCATCTAAAAAAGTTTCAAATTAAATCCATATGTTAATTTCAAAGTTCAAGTTGTAGAACTTCAAAGAGAAATCAATTTCATTAAACATTTAAATAAAATCATGCTCTATGCTTTAAAATAATGAAAATAGAGTGTTTTATTTTTACATTAACTTGTTCTTGGAAGTAAAATCTAATCAATCAGGTAGTATTATTCCAGAAAAACTCCTAGAATTAGTGTAAATCTAATCAATCAGGTAGTATTATTCCAGAAAAACTCCTAAAATTAGTGAGTACTTACTATGAAAAGATTCTGGAATTTCACAAGCAAAACAAATACGAAGGAAATTAGTTTACCAAATGATTGTTGAAGAAAAGTTGCTGAGATCAGAAATTTAAGGGATATTGACAACTGGCAGTATGGCTTAGATTAAATACTACTTTAAATAAGCTTGTCAAAATGCTTAAGTTATAATTTGTACTTGGCTGCTATTTAAAAGTATTTAATAATTGTAATGACTGCATCAAAATAAAAATGAAAACATCAAATTTTCACTCAAGTCAAACTTCCTTGAACATAAACTAGTCAAAAATTTAAAACACATAAAATGTCAGCTGATGATTTTAAATGTTTTATGCGAATAAATAAGCAATGTTAGCAGTGTTAAACAATATTGGTACTTTTGCTAATGGTACTTAGCTGATACCTATTAAAAGCACCCATTATGTACCAGGCTCTATATAAAATACCTGATATGTATTACTTCATTTAATATAAAAGTTATCTCTACTAAAAATTAGGGAAGGTCAAGCAATTGCTCATTGCAGCTGAGATCTGAACACAGATAAATGATTTCAAAGTTCTTTCCACTTTCTATACTGTTAAGCATAAGCAATAACTGTTCAACATGCTCAAATAAAAGCATCTTTTTTTTTACTGCCTTCCTCTGCCTCCTTTTCCTCCTGTCCCTTATTTCTTTTATCCCAACTATATCTAACACCTACTAGTCGTTTCCAAAAGCACTGTTTAATTATAATGTGACATTCTAAAAGCCAGAGTTTTTAAAAAGATAAATAAATAAATACCAGTACTAGTAAGAACCACACAGGAAAGGTTCTTTTCTAATTACTTACCTTGGGAGGGAATTTTATATCTATATTAACATCACTACTTTTCAGAGCAAACTTAGTCAGAGATGAGCCATACAACCTAAGTGAACACTCTGGAAATAAAGGAAAAATATCAAAGCATGAAATAGCATGCAAATATGGGAACTTTAAAAAATAGTAATAGGAAGTTTCCATATATTTCAATTCTATACCTTCCAATTCTAGTACAACAATTACAGAAGAATGACATCCTTCTAACTGATCTACAAAATAATAAAATATGTTTCTCAGATATAGGGTTCAGGAACAGAGAAAGAAGAAATTACTCATAAAAGCTCAGTATTTTAGTAACAGTTTATTTAGGAAAGACTAGAATATTCAGTCATTTATTATGTAACATTTAGAATTTGGTATTTAATATTAAATTAATATTCAGCATTTAATATGTAACAGTAAATAATATACTAACCTAGCTAAAGCTACCATCACACATTTATTTTTAGATACTTATGCAAGATAGAGCATTTTAAATGAGGAAGTCAGTGACAATGCTCTTAAAAAATGCAAAGTGAAACCTAGCCAATTGTCACTGCAAATCTAAAACCAAAAAAACTGGCTTTCAAGAGTTTACAGAACAAAATAAATAGCAACAAGAACATACTACCTACACATCTTTCTCAAACTATCAATTATGTTATTTCAAAATCATAAGATGGCAAATTTTAAAAGGAGCTCACCAGAAGGCAAGTTGAAAAATAACACGATTGAGACTGATCAGGCAGGTTCAGTTTCTTAGAAAGTGTTAAGTTCATACTCAGTAGTATATGTAAAAATCTACTTCCAAGTTCACAAAATGTCTGAAAATCGTCCAACTCATTGAAATCATAAGTTTCATTTGTACTATAATAGTGAATTATTTCTATATAAATAATTAAATTAGCATTCAAGGTATTTCAGATAGAAAACCACATTACTACAGAATTAAGAGAAATAAAATGCTTTCATTTCCATTTTTAAATTTCAACTTTACATACTCTTAAAATCTCACAATAGCTCCATATGAAACTATAATTTATCAACTGTTCAAAGTCTTTCTGGTGGTAAGAAATAAGTCTTATTTAATATACATTTACTTAAATTCAATACTGATGCAAAAAATGCTATGGCTAAGCAAATAATCTATACACAAGTGTCTGTAATAAACCTGTGCAGATTCCCCTTGGACCAAAAACATAAGCTTTCTGTAAAAAAAGCAGTCAAAAAGAGATAATTGTCAATTTTATCTCTAATGTCCTTACCTAAAAGAAATAAAGTTTTCCCCACTATGGGGCAAAAGGAATTTTATTCAGTGACTGGTTGGAATGTATATAGTGAAAATAACATAACTAAAATGCCCCTTCATAACTCGATACTGAAAATTAATATAAAATATAATAGTTGACCACTAAGAAATTATACTGTATCTGACATTTCTTTAATCTTTTTTCTTATGCCATAATTCTCCATTTTCCTCTTCTGAAATATTTCCTAAAAAAAGTCATTTATAAAACAATTAAATTCACCTACTTGAAAGATACAAAAAAAATGAGAAAGAAAACATTAAGAAATTTATCCTGAGTTCAAGAAGAAGCAAAAGGAAGAATTGTATCACTTTAAAAAAATAATTATAAAATATATTTTTGTACCTGGTAAAAATGTTGTTATAACCTTTGACATTTCCTCCACAATTTCCTGACGGACTCTGAGGTCATCATCTGTTATTCCTTGTTCTTTTGCTAATTCAATAACAGCAACACTTAAGGCAGCCAAGTGGGCAGGGGAAGGAGGCGGCAGAGAACGAAGCTCACTTTCTTCCTGTTTTTCCTATTAGTGAAATGTTTAACAACAACATAAAAAAAGATTTCTATTTTAATGTTCTTATATTTAGTAGAAAAGGGTAGAAATATATTAACTGAACAAAAATGTGCAAGATCCACAACAGCTAGGTATTTAGGTAAACAAGAGACAGAGATTCTTGCCTTTGCGAAGCAGGACTGAATGTTTGAGAGGTAAACTTGTTCTACTTTAATGTCTGCATAAATTCTGATGTTGAATCAGAGTCAAAATACCTACCGTAAGTACAACACTAAGCTGACAATTTAGTTGCAGAAAAGAGAGATTTTAGATGTAGCAGAACATCTTGAATCATCTCTGGTCAGCACATACCCAATCAGAATAAATGGTCACAGGAAAACATCCATTTGATAGGGACTATCACCATATTTGATAAACTGCCTAACATTCTCTCTGTTATCTTACCCAACACTAGGCAAAATGTTCAAAAACCCTCTCTTTCACCAAAAGCTTGTAAGCCAATTTAAACTAAGGAGCTAAAGAGGAGCTCTATTACATATACACAATGACTTTAAAATTAACTTACATTGTGATTTCTTTTAAAAAACTATTAACTGCAAAACCTACATAAAATATAGGAAAATGAAAAGATGAAGAAAATCACCCACTATCTTACATGCTATTTCATCTTTTTAACATAAATGAGATTCTATCATTTCTTTTAGTTAATATTTTAAAAAAGGCATTTTCTATTATGACATTTCAGTCAAAAACAATCTATTTTTTGAGACATGGAGGCATCCAATAGATCTAACAATCAAAAGCAGTTTTTCTCCCCCTTCCCCAATATAGTTAAATAAATTTGATCTATTCCTCATTCATTGTTGCCATTTTTAGTGTTAACATAAGTAAAGGTGACCTAAGGCACAGAATAATCAAACATATGAGGTAAGACAATCTCATTTTTACAGGTTTTTGTGACTATTTCTACAATATTAATAATAATCTAAGTCTTGGATGAACATCTAAGCTTTCAGGACCTTTCTGTAGGATTCACTTAAGTTATTAATAGTAGCTTACTTAATGAGTGATAAAAGATTAACATGGAACAAAGTTATCTTTTTCTTTGTAATTGAAGTATCATTGATACATAAGGTTAAGTTGGTTTCAAATGTACAACATAGGAGTTCAACAGTTACTCATGTTATTAGATAGCCTCTACTGTGATTACTATCTACCAACATAGAAAGATGTTACAGAATCATTATGTTCTCCATGCTGTACTACCCTATACTTGACCAACTTATATAGTGATTGCAGATTATTGTGGCCTTCTGTTACCCTGACACTTGCTCCCCACCCACCCCACCCCTTCCACCTTGATAATCACTAGTCATATGAGTCTACTGTTGTTTTTTGTTCCATTTTGCTTTGCTTTTATATTCCACAAATAAGTGAAATCATATGGTATTTGTCTTTCTCCACTGGGCTTATTTCGCTGAGCATAATATCCTCTAGATTCATCCATGCTGTGGCAAATGGCAGGATTTTACTATTTATAGCTGAATAATATTCCATTTTGTATACATACCACCTATTATTTATCCATTCATCTACTGATGGACACTTAGGTTGTTTCCGTATCTTGGCTATTGCAAATAGTACGATGATCAATATAGCAGGGCATATATCTTTGTGAATCCAGGATTTTGTTTTCTTCAAGTAAATTCCTAGGAGTGGAATTACTGGGTCAGATGGTACTTCTTTTTTTAGTTTTTGAGGAACTTAAATCCTGCTATCCACAGTAGTTGCACCAATTTACATTCCACCAACAATGTAGGAGGGTTCTGATTTCTCTGTATTTCTTGTATTTTGGATAGTGGCCATCCTAACTGATGTGAGGTGATATCTCATTGTGGTTTTTGATTTTATTTCCCTGATGATTAGCGATGTGGAGCATCTTTTCATGACTGTTGGCCATCTGTATTTCTTCTTTGGAGAAATGTTGGTTCAGGTCCTCGGCCCATTTTTTATGAAGTTACTTGTTTTTTTGGTGTTAAGGCATATGAATTCTTTAAATATTTTGGATGTTAATCAATTATCAGAAGAGTCAATTACAAATGTATTTTCCCATGGTAATGGTGTCCTTTGCTGAACAGAGGCTTTTGTTTGATGTAGTACCCCTTGTTCATTTTTTGTTTCCCTTGCCCAAGGATATGTGTCCAGGAAAAAATTCTTTATGCTTATATTAAGAGTTTTATGGTTTCATGACTTATATTCAGGTCTTTGATCCATTTCAACTTTACTTTAGTGTATGGAATTAGACAAGAGTCCAGTTTCATTTTCTTACATGTAGTTGTCCAGTTTTCCCAACACCAGTTGTTGAAAAGGCTGTCTTTCACTCATTATAAATTCATGCCTACTTTATCATATATTAATTGACCACATAGGTAAGGATTTATATCTGGGCTCTCTATTCTGATCAATTGAGATTTATGAGTCTGTTCTTGTGCCAGTATGAAATTGTTTAAATTACTGTAACTTTGTAGTAGAGCTGAAGTCAGGGAGCTTAATCCCCCCAGCTTTCTTATTCTTTCTCATGATGGCTTTGGCTATTTGGGGTCTTTTGTGGTTTTGTATGAATTTTAGAACTATTTGTTCATTGAAAAATGCTGTATTTTGATAGGTACTGCACTCAATCTGTAAATTGTTTTGGGCAGGATGGCCATTTTGACAATATTAATTCTTCCTATTCATGGGCATGGGATAGATTTCCACTTATTGGTGTCTTCCTTAATTACTCTAGTGAGTGTCTTATAGTTTCCAGACTATAGGTCTTTAACCTCCTTGGTTAGGTTTATTCCTAGATATTTTTATTCTTCTTGATGCAACTGTAATTGGGAGTTGTTCACCTGGTTTCTCTTTCTGCTAGTTCGTGTTAGTCTATAGAATGCAACAGATTTCTGTGCATCAATCTTGTATCCTGCAACTTTGCTGAATTCAGATATTAGTTTTAATAGTTTTTGGGTGGAGACTTTAGGATTTTCTATACATAGAATCATGTCATTAACAAATACTGACAGTTTTACTTCATCCTTACCAATTTAGATGCCTTTTATCCAGTTTTGCCTGACTGATTTATGAACTCCAGTACTATGTTGAATGAAGGTAGTGAGAGTGGGCATCCTTGCCTTGTTCCTGATCTTAGGAAAAGCTTTCAGCTTTTAGTCATTAAGTATGATATTGGCTGTGAGTTTCTCGTATATTGTCTTTACTGTGTTGATGTACATACCCTCTAAACCCATTTTGTGTAGAGTTTTTGTCATGAATGGATGTTGAATTTTGTTGAAAGCTTTTTTAGCATCTGTTGAGGTAATCATGTGGTTTTTGTCCTTTTTGTTACTGTGGTGTATGATATTGACAGATTTACGAATATCGTACCATCCTTGCACCTCTGGAATAAATCCCATTTGATCATGATCAATGATCTTTTTGATGTACTTTTTAATTCAGTTTGCTAACATTTTGCTGAGTATTTTTGCATCTATTTTCATCAGGGATATTGGTCTGTAATTTTCTTTTTTTGTGGTGTCTATATCTTGTTTTGGTATTAGAGTGATGATAGATTAGATGGATTAGAGCCTCATAGAATTGAGTCTGTAAGTATTCCCTCCACTTCTACATTTTGGAATACTGTAAGAAGAATGGGTATTAGCTCTTCTTTAATGTTTGGTAGAATTCAGCTGTGAAGCCATCTGGACCTGGTGTTTTGTTTTTGGAGAATTTTTTTATTACCAATTTGAATCAATTTCAATCTTTTTAAATTTACTGAGGTTCTTCCTGTGGTCTAGTATGTGATCTATTCTGGAAAATGTTCCCTGTACACTTGAGAAGAATGTGTATTACTTCTGCTTTTGGGTGGAATGCTCTGCAGGTATCAACTACATCTATCTTATCTAACATACAATTCAGTTCTTCTGTTTCCTTATTTATTTTCTATATGGTTGATATGTCTATTGATGTAAGGGGTATGTTAGAGTCTCCTAAATAAATGTGTTGCAATCTATTTCCCCCTTTAATTCTGTTAGTATTTGTTTTACATATTCAGATACTTCTATGTCACATACATAGGTATTAATGGTCATATCCTCTTGTTGGATCCCTTTATCAATATGTAATGTCCTTTTCCTGTTACTTTCTTGTTTTGAAACCTATTTTGTCTGATAGAAGTATAGCTATTCCTGCTTTTTTCTCCCTATTATTTGCATGAAATATCTTTTTCCACCCCTTCACTTTTAGTCTGTGCTTTGTCTCTGCGTCTGAAATGATTCTTTGGTGGGCAGCATATAGATGGGTCTCTTTCTTTATCCATTCTGCACCTCTATGTCTTTTGATCAGTGCTTTCAGTTGATTTACATTTAAGGTGATTATTAACAGATATGTACCTACTTCCATTTTATTAATTGTGTTCTGGCAGTTTTATAGCTCCTCTCTGTTCATTTCTTCCTCTTTTATATTCTTCTCTTGTTATTTGATGTTTTTCTTTACTGTTGTGATTGGATATCTCATTTTTAAATTTTTCTGTATTTAATGTAGGCTTTAATTACCAAAGGTTCAAGAATAGCTTCCTTATTACACTAAAGGTACTTTTTCTTCTTCCTCTTCCTCCTCTTCTTCGCCTTCCACACTTTTTGTATTAGATGTCATAATCTGCACTTTTTGTGTACCTCCTGACTGATTTTGTGCATAGCTGATTTTGCTTTTTTTTTTGTTTTAATTTCGTACTTGCTTGGTAATTAATTGGTCTACAACCTTTACTGTGGGTTTATTTTCACGGGTGAAAGCTATTTAGCTTTAAGGACATTTCCTTCTGCAGCAGTCCCTTTAGCATATACTGTGAGGCTGGCTTAGTGGTGGCAATTTTCTTCAACTTCTGTTTATCTGTAAATTGTTTAATAACTACTTCTAATGTAAATGATAATCTTGCTGGGGTAGAGGATTTTTGGTTGGAGGGCCTTCTGTTTCAGTAT